GCACTCGTAATGTGTCTGCCGTATAAATTGCCACTGCATAAATTTAAATGGGTAATTGACTCTTGTGGATCGTAATTACTGCAGACATGTCATAACGCCTACACTAAAGACAACCAATCTGAATGCTTTAGCATTTTAGGGCTCTGGCTCTTGCAAAGCTGTTGTTATAGTCACGAAATGGTGTTTTATTTTTATTGGTATTATTCATATGCTATTTTCAGCTGTCTAAACAAAGCTTGGTCTGACACTAACCAGTCTGTTTTGTGCTAAAAGCCAACAAAGGAACTTAATTCAAGGACAGAAAAATGTAAACTTCTAATCTACAAAAAGAAAGTTTGTCTATTTTAATTCATCTTTAATTGAACTTCCTTTATGATAGACGAGTAATGAAACCAAAATATTTCAAATAATTCCAAAAAGACTTCTGGTCAGCAGTTTGTGTTCACACCAGCCATTTGAATACACTTCCATATATGTGCACAAATGTGAGAGACAGCAGAGACTTAATGATCATATTTTGGTCAAACTGGCGGGGCTTTTCCAAAACTCCATGACGCAAATCCAACTAAAACTTTTGCAAGAAGGAATCTAATGCACAGTTAAAGAGAATTCCCTTCTCTCATCACATTATCACCAAACTGCAATGCCATGTTACAGAAAACTAAGAGCTGGTAACACATTTAGCTCATAGTCAATGCAAATAAAAGTGATTTACAGTATACCGTTTATATTAGATGTACAGTTTTTACATTTAGGTCTGATATAAGTGTGTTACGGGTCAATATCACTGTATAAAGTACATTTGAGACATCAGAATTAAAAAAAAAGTTAAATTTTTTTATTTAACCACATAATTGTTGTATTAATTAGACCTTAGGCTGTAAGAAATTAATGTTGGTCAAGCTCCTGCACTTTTTATAAATAAACTACAAGCAGAGAAACAGTAAACAAACTTCAAATTGTCAACCCTATCATGAACAAATTCAAAGTAGTATAAGGGCATGCTCACACTATGCTATCCGAACCGTGCCCAGGCCCGTTTTCCAGATCGTTTGTGAAGTGTGAGTGCTCTTAACAATAGTATCTGGATGCAGCCTTTATAATGCAAGCTGAGATTGCATCACTCAGCGTTGCAATGTCAGACACAATGCACTCAAATGGAGCGTGTGACGTCACTGTGATGGGTAGGGTTAGGGGTGGGGTTAGGTGAGCCCATTAAAAAGCATTGGATGCAGCTCAGATTGCACTGCACCAAGTCTGCATCCGGACCCCTCTCGCTCTGAATCGGGTTCAGGCGCGGTTCTTCAAATGTCTATCAGGGTAAACTACTGCCTTAATTTTTAGTTTTTATTTCATTAGTTTTATATTTAATTTGTTTATTAGAGTGGTAGTTCGTTCCAATTGACATTTGAAGGTGAAAAAATTGGCTACCCCTGTTTTTACACCCTTCTTTAAGTAGGTAGTTCATTCTGATAGATATTTGAAGCTGACAAGATTTTTTTAGCTCAAATATGACAGATTGAGTTACCGGTTCTCATTCTGAGGAGGTAATACAGATCGTCAGAACACCGGCCCTGGCCCGGTTGGAAGAGGTGTGCCAGAGCGCGATTTACTTGGGTTTTGTCGGGGTACACTTGAAGTGTGAGTGCAAAGCGCACCTGAGCCCGAAACTGAAGACGAGACGTGACTTCATAGGGACTGTTTCATATGGATAAATCATTCTTACTGTTCAGTGAACGCAAACTGTTGTAGATTATTAGACGCAAACCCCTCACTGCATGACAGCTGCACCTTCAGCAAACCTCCTAATTACTGCAGCACATGGACTTTATGATTGTTTATGAGTGTCAAAAGTGGCTGATCTGTTTGGCGAAATATTTAGCTGCGTGTCACTGCGCACTTGTTGCACTACGCACTTGTTGCATGTGTTTTGGCCCCAACGGCCTTCCATACTGGAAAGGGGGCAACCGTGCTTCGGCCCAGTTCAAGGCAACTGTACATAGTGTGAGTAAGCCCTAAGTACATTTCCATTGCATTGTGATTATAAAATGTATATTTTTTAGAAAGGTAATGTGTCGCTTAACCAACCCAACTTTTTAGATTAGGAAAAAAGTCTATTTATAATAATGAAATAATGGACAAAACAATTATTTCCCAATAAAATATGCAATTGTTGCAAATTCTTTTCAAAATAAAACCCAAGAACTAATACATTTTGTCAAACTTTTAAACAGGATTAACTGGCCTTTGTTAGTTAATTAATAAATCACACAAGATCTTTTGCTGAGGTTATAATGTGTTTATTTTCATAAAAGTTGAACATGACAGTGGAAAACAAGATGACAGGGTGGACACTGGCGTGTATTTTTATTTCAAACTGTCAATGAGCTCCATTATATGGACTTTAAAAGGATATCCTTTATATAGACTGAGACAGATATTGCTAAAAGGTTTGTTTTGTCCACTCATGTATTGCATCTACTGGTGTAGTATGTGTGTATAAGTGTTGTAACATAAAACATTAACTAACTGACAATAAAAATAAGTAAATAAATAGTGTCAATAACAATGTATACGTCCAACCTGTCAAGGAAGGATTTGTGACAGGGTGGAAAATGACAGGGAGGACATTTTTGGCTAAAGATAGTATTTATTCAACACATGTTATACCTGCAGCTGGCACAGTGGTTAAGCTCTTTGTACACAGTTTAAAATGTATATATTTTTTTTTCTGATTTTTTTAATATTAATTAATATTTCACTATGACAGGATGTTAAGCTTAACAACATTCCGTTTTAAACACAATATGAGGAAAAATAAGAAACATAAGTGTAGATAGTTACTGTGTGCACAGCAGATGTCTTAACATCCTCTGAAGAAAGGCAGAATGGGTATGCCAATGAGTACATCGGAGGCTTTCTTAAAGGGGCATTTACCACATCATGACAGGGTGGACAGCAATTTCAAGGACATGTGCAAAATGATTAATAATATGAACAAAATAAAAGTTATTAAAATGACTTAATTAATCAAATAACTTGTTAAAGACAATACGAATATTTAAAAATCTTTTTAAATTTTATCTTATTTACCTACTTTTTTGGCTCAATGTAGTTGCTGAGCAGTGTGTGGGACGTGGCAAAACCACACCCATTCAATGAAGGAATATGACAATAATTGACATAAACAGATTTCAAAACACTTATAATTCTACCTGCATGTGTGTCAATCAGTCTTTTTTGAAGTTTGTTCGAGTTTGGTGAACTGATGCAATGCATCAAGGCCATTTGTCCCACTGTAATCCACCTGCAGTAACGCACCAGCAGGGCTAGAGGGCACTACTGCAACAGATTACATTGATCTCCTGTTTACTGTTGGACTCAATCTAAAGAGAATTAATAATAAATCGCTGGCATATGAACAGCACTGTAGTGTCAAAGGAAATGTGCATGAAATAAGTCCCATAACCATCTACAGGCAGACATAACAGTCGTGCATTCACTGTTTCAAACTTTAAGAGACGAATATATAGGTCACAGAAAGGCAGTGCTGGATGTCTGTATGGCGTAAAGCCATCACTGAAAATTGCTGTACTAATTTAAAAGTGAATACTTGATATTTATGAAAAGAATGATGGTGTCATCCATATTAGCTTGTATAATAGCTGTGATTGACCTAATGATATTATTGGCAAAACATTACAGCTGTTTTGTCATATCATGCAAATGTTGTGAAATAGGCCATGTGTGTGTTTATTAGTCATGAAGCTCCAGGACTTTCCCAGTTCAGTCTGCTGTACTCAGTTTGAGTCTAGAAGGCTCAGGAAAACCAAAACTTACAAACTCAGACCGCAGCCAGTCTAAATTAGGGCGTCTGTTAGTTTCAGACTCCACCCATCAACCCACTGATTCAACATATACTGCCCTGCCTGCCTGCAAAACGCTCTTATTTCCTCCTTTCTGAGATTTCATTTACAGTCTACTAATGTACACTTCTACCAACCATCTGAAGTGTAATTGCAGCCGTGATTATTTTTTATGAGTAATAACAACCTGCAGTGATAAGTGGCTTTTCTGAACATTTTGACTTTAATTAATAAAGAAAGAAATAGTTGTAATTGAAATAACAGAAATGAATGTTTAAGTAAAATGAGTGGAAACAAAGATAAACGCATATGGAGAAATTATATATTTTTGTATTATTTTCATATACAATTATGTATTATATGATTAACTTAATCAATTATTTTTATAATTATGTAACTATTCTAATTATTATTCATGTGTTATTTTACTTTTATTATTCAAGTTAAAAGTGACAAATGAAACTTAGTAACCTATTCAGAGCAATTAATGTCAAATTTTATAACATGGTTATTACATATGTTATAACACTGTTATAAACACTTTCAATATATTTGATAAATGTAATACAATAGCAATGCAGAAACGTTTTCTTTCTTTCTTTCTTGTATTCTTTATTCGTTCCCCTTTTTTCTGTATAATCTATTTTAAGATTATTTGGTTTGAGTAAAATATCACAATCATTAAACAAAGCTTTGTTCAATAAATTTAAGAAATAATTAATAGCAGTGTATAAATAGTTGCAGTGCTATAATTAAAAAGTAATAAATATTTAATCCACAAATAAAAAAATAAAGTTGATGAATTACTATCCAAAAATAAGACAATACTTTAACAGTAAATTGTTTAAAAGTGTAAAAAAAAACTGTGTTAAGTACAGTGACCGTCTCTCTACAGCAGTGGGGAGTGAAGGATGGTTCTTGGAAGAGCCACAGTCTGCGGAGTCAGTCACATTCTTGGCTAGGATTCAATGACTGAGCCAGACACACACAAACACTGAGAGAGAGAGAGAGAGAGAGAGAGAGAGAGAGAGAGAGAGAGAGAGAGAGAGAGAGAGAGAGAGAGAGAGAGAGAGAGAGAGAGACTCTGCTGCTCACTGACTCACTCATACTGAACTGCAGGGGCAGAGGAGCGGAGGCGACGCGCCGTGTCCGGCTGCAGCGATCTCTACTCGCAGGCAAAAACACGGATTTAAAGTTTGCGGATTGTGTATTTGACTCGTGAAATTGACGTGGGACAAGTTCGGCCTTTCCGTGGGATAGTTCTGCTGCAACTTGCGCGCTTTTGCTCGTGTTACACTTGAGTTTTCTGTCTGTGGATATGGACAGAAGAGAGCCCGCTGCAGGGGAAGAAGACGCGCCGGTGGAAACCTTCGTCTGAGCGGGGATTTGATGAAGCCCTGTGGGCCTTCTTGTGCTTGTTTTCACGGACTTGGATTTAGAGACGCAGAACCAGGACCTTTGAGTCGCATTTCTTGCCCGACACTTGGTTTCAACGACAACGCGCTGCGCGAAACATGGAAACAGTAGCGCGACAGAGTTTCCAGCCTCACCCGGGACTGCAACAAACTCTCAAACAGTTTCACCTGAGCTCCATGATCTCCCTCGGAGGACCGGCCGCGTTCTCGGCCAGGTGGCAACACGATTTGCTCTTCAAGAAGGACGGTAAAGACATCCCGGAGCCCGTGCTGCACCTCCCCCCGATGCAGCCTCCTCCGGTGATGCCCGGGCCGCTCTTCATCCCGTCCGACCGCTCAACCGAGAGGTGCGAGACGGTCCTGGAGGGTGAGACCATCTCGTGCTTCGTGGTGGGCGGCGAGAAGCGCCTGTGCCTGCCGCAGATCCTCAACACGGTGCTGCGGGATTTCTCGCTCCAGCAGATCAACTCTGTGTGCGACGACCTGCACATCTACTGCTCGCGCTGCACCGCCGACCAGCTGGAGATCCTGAAGGTGATGGGCATCCTGCCGTTTGCCGCGCCGTCCTGCGGGCTCATCACCAAGACGGACGCGGAGCGGCTATGCAACGCGCTCATCTATGGGGGCACGTACCCGCCGCACTCCAAGAAGGAGCTGTACGGCTCTATTGAGCTGGAACTCACCGAGAAGAGCTTCAAGATCTACCACGAGTGCTTCGGGAAGTGTAAGGGTCTGCTGGTCCCGGAGCTCTACACAAGTCCCAACGCGCCCTGCATCCAATGCATGGACTGCAGGCTCATGTACCCGACCCATAAATTCGTGGTGCACAGTCACAAATCGCTGGAGAACAGGACTTGCCATTGGGGCTTTGACTCGGCCAACTGGAGGGCGTATGTGCTCCTGAGTCCGGATTACACGGGGAAAGAGGAGAAAGCGCGTCTGGAGCAGCTCCTGGATGACATTAAGGAGAAATTTGATTTCTCCAATAAATACAAGCGGAAAGCATCACAGGTGAGTCGATTTGTTGCGTTTTACGCTACATCCTCTCTTCTAGAAGTGTAACATTTTTTTTTTTTGGGGGGGGGGGGGGGGGGGGGGGGTCTCCTGCAAGTGTCAGAGGTCCATGACAAGCAGTTTTACTTTAACTTTTTAAAGTAAGCCAGTAGTGACTACCATCTTTTCCAGTTATATGAATAACTTTTCATTAGATACCTCTCCCTATTTAATTAATTTACTGTATTAAGTAATTAATTTCACTTAATAGATGTTATTGGAATTGGTGGTTCCATGAAGAAGCTTTAAAATGGTGTAAACTCTTATTACAAAAAAAAATTACAAAAAAAATTTGACACTAAGAAAACCCCCTCGTTCATTTTGAAGTGTGTGATTGTGCTTAATTCTATGCTGCTACTCAAATTGGTTATAGCTATTATTTTTTGCATCTGTGCACTATTCACTTCATTTCTAAACTATGTTTTCCATTCGTTACTGACACTTTTAAATGCTGTTCATCATGTATTGTTATTCATTTTGCTTTACTAGAAGTCATTGGGCTCATATGTGTGTCAGTTTTCAGAACAAATTGGATCGTATTCTAGTCATATCAGGAACTGGTGTTCAAGTTATTACTAAACATTCTTAATCTTACTTGTAGGGTTGTATATTACACAAAACCATGCAGCTATTCTGACTAGTCATCGCATCAAATAAGGAAGCAATTGAAACTTTAAGGACTGGCTTTCAGTGAAATTTAACCATATTCTATGCGGTGACTTTTAGATTACTCACTAGTAGTAAAAAAATAGATATTGTGAAAATGGCTTGCCATATATTCATTCGCCATCAGATGAATGCTTGGAAAGCAGCCAGGAGTGTCAGTACTTTGGTGACACAAACTTCAGTCTCGACAGTAAGTAGTTCTTTGGCAGACGTACAGTGCACTTCTTATAGGGACAGTCCCCTCGGCACAACCTGAGGTTAAGTGCTATTGCAATGTTCCTGAATCACCTCTGCCAGTATTCAAACCAACAATCTCACCGTTGGCAGACAAGATCTTTTAACCACTAAGCCACACCACCAGGGTGAAATTTGTATGTCTAAGGTTTTGCGTTGGCATATTCCAAGCAGTGTCAGCTTCCCTCCTTAGATGAGTGCTTGGAAATGAGCCAGGAGTGTCAGTTCTTTGGTGACCCAGTCTTCAGGCTCCAGAGACTATCATGATATTGGTTTCCCAGTCCAAATGTTACAACCCGATATCCAGGAGGTGGGAGGGGGTGGTGAGATGTGGATTCTGCCGTCAGACATCGGGATACAGTGGCAGTCACAGTGGCCTAAGTGTATTGCAATGAAATATTTAGTTTGACCAAGAAAAAAAAATAGAAATCACAGAAAGCATGTTTGCATACTGCATATAATTGACCAAAGACTAACCCTCAGTGCCGTGACCTCTGTCCCTTTGGCCTTTACAGTAGATACAGTGCTGCATGTGTAAACAAACAATCATTTAGAGCCATTAAAGGCCAGGGCGCTTGTAGTCTTCATCTTTCTCTCTCGGTCTGTCTAGTGCTTGTTTTTATCATTTCGTTCCTCCATCTGTCTCTCTCGAGCCCAGCATGACTTCCACATGTCCCACAGCAACGGCGTCATGTTATGGTAATTCAGAAATGGGTCGTTTAGCTATCACAGGTACTTGACAGTGGATGTGTTTTTAATGACTGAGCCATTGAGGGTGTAATCACAAGGCTGCTGAAGGGTGGGGGGGGGGGGGGGGGTAACGTTCTCAAGTTTGCTGCTTTGCAACACAAAGTTCATTTCTGGATGTTTTTGGCAGGAACAATGCGATTAAGCAGTCTCAGGCTGATTGTTTTATGTTTATCTGCTTTGGGTTGTCTTGGTCTCGGGTTACTCGCATGTGTGGTGGCTCTTCTTACCCCTGGGGCTTGAATGCTTGACTCTTATAGCAGACAGGGTCCTGTTTGTGAGGCAGAGGATTAGAGGAAAAGTTTTTTAGTAGTGTGCCCCTCCTGCTCCAATACACACACAAACACTCAGTGAATGGCAGGCCTGGTCATTTGCATGAACTGTTTCCCCTGAATGGAGCTGATGATGCAGGGATTGGAGTATTGTGGTGGAAACGGAATATGAACCAACAAAGAGGTGCATTCACCAACATCTCCTCCCTCCCATCTCTCTGTGATCAGCCCTCCATCACCTTCCCCCACCATCCAGCTCTCACCCAGTTACTTTTCCTTGTATGAATAGAGCAAACTGAAGTCTTCGGTGTGTTTGCGCACTTTTCCCGTTTTCTGTCTGTTTTCGCGTTGACGTTGTGTGTCATAAGTGCTTGGCCGATTGAATGGGTCCTTACAGTGAATGACGCTGCCTCGTTAACATCGAGCTGTTTCCCTCGGTCTCGAGTGAGACCAAAATGTCCCGGAGCTCTCTGCATTATCACATTATCAGACCCCCCACAGCAGGCTTTTATTCCTCTCAAGAGCTTTTCTGCCTCTCACCACACACAAGAGGGAACACTCTCAAACCGTCTGGAATCGGAAGTGGAATATATCTGTATATCCATCTAGAGAGAGGGAGATTTGGTGTATTTTTACATGCGCCCGACCGCCTGGTCACTCCTTTGCCAGGAAGAGTCAGAGATTTGATATTGATGACTTCATAATGGCTTCCACACAATTTCATTTGCGACTTGGATGTTTGTAGAGTAAGACTGAGGCCTGTAATGTACTCTATTTGAATGCTCGAAGCTACGCAAGCTCGATTCCAAATTAGGGCTTGGTGATAAAACCGTTATGGATATTTATTGACCGAACACCATTGTCTATATCGGTATGTAGTTTCGGTATAAAGCGCTATAGTTTTATTAAAATGTGGCTGTTGGGTTTAAGAGTCTCTTCAACACGTATGTTGATTTTATTATAAAAATATGATATTTTGTTTAAATATTTCTGTTTTTGACTATTTAAACTATTTGCCTTAGTAATGTTGGTAAATGAAAATTAAGTGGTTAAATATAAAAAATCCTAATATTGCTAAATGTCTTGTCAATAAATATTCTAATTATCAATATCGAATAATATGAAACACGATATTGTGATCATTTTTTTTTTTTGCAACATCGCCCAACCCTATTTCAAATGTCACTGTGCTATACAAATTCAATGGTAGTGATTATTCTTCATTTTTAATCTTCAGGATCAGTTTATTTAAACAGAAAAAATAAGGAGATTTTGTTGAGATATTTATATTTTACATTGTGATATAATGCAAAATGTAATTTAATCCCGGACGAGCCCCCATTTTTCTATCGAGCAACAAAAATCCATGAATGTGTGATTGGTGGTGCTTTAGTGGAGTTTTGGTGGTAAAATGTTTTACATTGTGATATATTGCAAAAGGTGGCGCAGTGGGTAGCACAGTCACCTCACATCAAGAAGGTTGCTGGTTCGAACCCGGGCTGGGTCAGTAGGCATTTCTGTGTGGAGTTTGCATGTTCCACTCTGGCGACCCCTGATTAAAAAAATGACTTAGCCTAAAAGAAAATGAATGAATGAACAAATTGTAAAATTTTATTTATAACCGGACGAGCCCCCACTTTGCTATCAAGCAACAAAAACCCTGTGATTGGTGGCGCTTTAGTGGAGAAATATTTTACATTGTGATATATTGCAAAATGTAATTTACTCCTAAGATGGCGAAGCATAATTTTCAGCTGTTAAATTGTGCTATTGCAACCTTGCAATACAAACGTATTTGCCCTGAGGATTCCTAATGCAATTGATTTAGACAGCAGTTTGTATGTTTGAGCGTTTTTGTCTGGGCAGCATATTCTGTGTGATTGTGACAGAGCTGTTTGGTTTTTGCTGAGTTATTTACAGATCTTACTGTTCCTCATCTGTGAAAAGTAGTCTGGCAGTCTCTCTCTCTCTCTCTCTCTCTCTCTCTCTCTCTCTCTCTCTCTCTCACTCACTCTCTCTCTCTGGGTGGGGTGAAGAAACTTCCTCTTTCTCTACTGCTTGCCGAGGGAAGGTCACAGACTGTGTAGTTACTCAACCTCCTTTAACATATGTGTGTGTGTATAAGTGTTTGTGAGAGCATGTCTGTCTGGTGCTTTCAGTCTGCAGCCGGAAGACGTAGAAAGACAGGATGTACTGTGTTCCTCACTCATACACACACTCATAATTAAGCGCAAAACGTACCTAGCCATTATCTTCTGTCAAGTTGTCTCAGGTCTTTTAATACTCTGTGGTTAAAAAAGTAGTGTCATACTTGTCTGAGATCTTGTTCAGAGGGTTCAAAAGAGTTTGGCTGCTTGGTAAACAATGCTGGAGCTTGCTGAACTGTAGTATACAGGTTCAAAGTGTAAGCATTGGTGTTGAGTTGGCTTCATGAGTTATCATGATTACTTTATACTGATAAAAATGTCTGGACGTAATTGTCAGGAGTGGTGCTGAATGATTAGGTGGATTAAGGACGAAATCGCTTTAGACTTTGTAAACAAGCCTTGTAGGTGAGTAAATGCCTCGAATAGACTCAATGCTAGGCATTTTGATTAATTAGGAATGAGTAATTACATGATACGCTTGTTAATATATCACAAATAATTAGTGTTTGGTGAAGATAAACCAAAAATCAAGGCAATTTTCATACATTATATGTCTGGCAGAAGCATTGAATGGACAAAAAGGTTATATTTTACGATACAATGGTATTGTGATTACTGCTTTAAAACATGTTCTTTTTAAATGTCTGGGTAAAAAACAACAACTTTTTCCCCCATTGAAATATATTTCATTTTAACACTTTAAATATTTTAAAACAATAAACAAGTCAGGCAAAATAACTAAAATAAATCATTGACTTCTGCAGTTTTTATTAGTTTCAAAAACACAATTTTCTTTAAAACTTTAGGCATCTTTGGATATCTTTCTTTTCTTTAGATATAAAGTAAGCCATTGTTCAGGTATACAGCATGCTTGGATGTTGGTTTATAAGCGATTTGTTTTTCAGATGT